CATACAATTAGTTTCGTTAATAAATTTATACTTATTAATAGTTGTGAATTTTATAATTACTTACCGGCTGACATATTACCGAAGATGGTAACTATGTTACCGATATCGCGCGATTTGTTTGTTCACGACCAGGGTCAACTGTGACGCTTGCACCCGTCGCTCTCTCGCATCTAAGCGCGCGCTATTCTCGCGCTCTGATTGGTCAGTGTTTTTCATTAATAATTCAAAAACTAAGCTTTAACCAGCATTTTGGTAAAGGAAAAAGTTGGTCAGAAACACCCCAGCTACCACCCCCTAAAATTATGCCCACCAGTAGCCGAACACCCTGTATATGATAATTATTGCTAAATTGCAATAAACAGAAAATTCCAAAAACACGTATCCCCTATTTTGATCCATATTTTTTGTATACAAATCTGCCAAAAAATCGAACTGCATTTAGGGTGAAAAATTGAAAAAGAAGTCCAATTTTTTAATATATTATTTAAATAAATAATTTCTCCCCAAATTTTTGTCACTAACTAAATTCTTGACTAAAAATTACACAATTTAAAAAAAAAATTCACCTTCCTACACCCTCTAGTTTCCGAGGTATTAAAGAAAATGTGTTTTCGACCCCGAACTTTGAGGACTATTTTCACCCCCTCAACATGTATATCCGCAGATATAAAAAAATACATGTCAAATGATTTTCGAAAAGCTATGTAAATTTCATTAAAATCCGTGTGTAACATCTTGGAGATGTCCGTTGTTAGTGTAAGGGCAGAATGCAGAGGACAGGATGAGTAAGAAGGTACAGAACACTAGATGAGTAGGCGTTTGGAAAGTGTAAATGGGATGTTTGTCGCCGGGTGATTCAATGTATTTATGAAGTGATAGAATATCTTTGTTGTCGATGAGTTAGTCTCACAATAATATTTGTAGGTCTAATCGATAGATGACGCAACGCGAGTTGTCTAATTTACAGATTTTGTAATTCCACTAATCCCCGTTTATACATCGGCTCTTCAATCGATTCGGAGGTAAACAAAAACGGAACAGTCCCCTTGCAAATGTAAAAGTTGTGGAGAATCACGTCTTCTACCCATTTCTGGGAGTCACATTAATTCTGAGACATTCCGTATGGTCAGTAATACGATATAAAATTGGTAGGCACTAGTGGAGTTATGTGAATCAGTCCACAACTGTTTCAATTATTCTCTTAAGTTATTCTCCCTTACCGAACATGGCAGTATCCGCGAAAAGTTTAAACGAAAACATTCGATTGCTGCCTTATTAGTTTGCTAAAAGAATAGTGGTGTACCTCTTCACTGCTCGTTTACAAACGTTTGTTTGGCTCGTTTAGTTTGCACGTACCCTTAGGTTAAGTAACGCAACATGTTTTTACGTTTTTTAATAGAGGGGGTTAATCAACAGTTAAAATGCTTTGTGTAATTGTAAGTGCGCCAATGAAAAGTAGTGATAATAATTGTTGTACTTGTTACTGCTGTGTTGTTGAGTGCAATAATTCTAAAAAAAATAATTCGAAATTGGAATGTTATATGTTTCCTGGTCGATCGTATGAAAGTGAAAGAAAGAAAGGTGGATAAATGTCATACGACGCTTGTTGTAAGTATAAATATTTTCTGTCAGAATATAATTAATAGATCTATCTTTTATTAACACACCGAACTAATTTGTAAATGTTTACAATATGTATAAACATCTATAATTGTGAAATACTGAAAGTAAATCAACTAAATTAAAGAACAATATTAGGTTATGTTTATGGATTTTTAATGCACAATATAAACAGAAATAATTTAAGTGTGTATAAAAAGGGGGGTATATTACATTCAAAGTGATTGCTAGCTTTTTTTTAAGATTAATCAATTTTAGCAATTAATAAAGAAAAACAATAGTTATGATGTAGTTTATATTGTGGTAACTATTACATTTCTAATGATCGCCTTACTTGCAGAACAAATAATAGTATCTTTTAATTGAATAAAAATAAATAACCACTACATTTACATGATAAAGAAAGTTATAGAAATCTGCTACAGCTTCAAGGATTATTTGTATTATGCACATTGTAGAAAGTAAAAGTCTTATGATTCAAGGAGGATAAATTATTGTCCAACTACTTTTCTAGATATTCATAGGAAGTAGAAGAAAATTAAATAAAGGAGAAGGGGGAGGTTACAAAAATAAAGTAAAGTTAAAAATTTAGTACAGGGTCAAATTGTTTGTCAATCTAACACAGTCACTGATGAAATTAATTATGGTATGATATGATTTTATTTATACAGTATGTTACCTATGCAGTAAAACTCTGTTTATCCATACTTCACTTATTTAAACAAAGTAATGTTTAATTGCAATTCAAATATTTTATAGAATGAATGTTAATAAATATTAGCTGGCGTTATGAATAAATTATATACTATATATGGAGGAGAAAATGATTCATAGTAATACAAATGTGATCAACTTTGGTTATGTAGACATTAATTCCTAATATACAAATTGGTGAATAATAAAGCAGAAGAGTGGGCCTATTATCTGAACATACAGTTATACAAATCGTGATTGATTGATTTTTTTATAAGGGCTTTGTTTGCTATAATTTTGTATAATTTTGTTCTTCAATTTTTTAAAATAAATGGAGTTCTATGGTAAGTAATAAGGAAATATTATAAAGAATTATTTCTATATGCAAAAATAATCAGTAATATATTATGATATCGCAATTACAATTATAAATATGAATATGAATATAGTTATGTTAATTTTATAGTATTATAATATGATGAATATGAATACACAGGAAATTGGTGTATGTGATTTTGTCCCATAAATAATACTAATACATCAATCCATGCGAACATAGAAATTATTCCTACATTGAAAAAGTTCACCATAAATAACATTTTGGAACAAATACATAAGATTTTCAAAATATACACATATTAGTATATACTTCTAATTGTGAAACGAATGTGAATTTTTTGTCTTAATAGATCCGTAATGAAGAAATAATAAACACGTTGATAGGGATATCTACATTTTTCAAATATCTTATTAGAATTCATATTACTTAATTAGGATTGACAGTCAAAATTTAAAAAAACTTATCAGAAGAACAAGGTTTTGTTATTATTAATGAAAGTTAAAAGTAGGATTGACTTTTTCTGTACTAAAGTATTAATTGCCATAGGCTCCATTTAAGGATATCATGTATTTAAAACGAGAACTCTTTAATTCATTACATTTTACAATATTTAAAGTTTGTATGCATTTATAGATTTTACTTTTTCATATGAGAATAAAATTTTGTATAACAAATTTATTGATTGCAAAATATTCATGAAAATACAGGGTGTTACCTGTAACGCTACTCACGATTTTTCTCCCACTTGCAGCCACCTTACGAAAAAAAGTTTAGAATAAAATTTGCAGGGTATGAAGTGCACAATAGATATTAGTAAAGCAAATTTTGAAAACAGTTTGTTCTCTTGGCAAAGTCAAGGTCACCTTGGGTTTCTTAAATAGGAACATACATTTTTTTTTATTCATAGCTTTAGAGGACATTGAGACGAATTCAAAACATATATTACATTATATTTTTATTAACATATTACTCGATTTACAGAAGTGGAAATGTGAAGTAAAAGACTGGAATATTATGTGATGGAAGGCGGCATATGTTACAT